ACGCAGGGACGGTGGCGGCCTCCAGCACTGGCGTGAGTCCGGATGACGACATGACCCAGACGAGAGGCGGTGAGGAAAGACAGCGGAACTCGAAAATGGACGGGCGAGCCGAGATGCTGTTCGGCCGCCCGCCTGACCTTGTTCCTACACGCACACGTGCGTTACACAACATTCCACTGGTTGTCTGATATCTGAGAGATGCCGAATCAACGTCACACAAGAGCTTGATGGCCATTCTCCATAAACCTTCCTTCCGACAGTCTACCGACAAGACGGGCGGGCTCGGGGAAGAAAGATCAAAACTAGGCCTGAAAAGACGGCCTTGAAGGAAATCCCGATGCGAGCACAATGTATTGATAAACTTGTGTATCAGCAAACTGCTCTGTTGGCAACAAGAAACGCATCTAAGCACTATACGCAACAAAATATGTTTGAGCTCGTGCACTGCTGGTGCATTGCTTTTGGGAGCCTGAGCATGGCCTTTCCTGAGAAGATACCCTCTTTGATTCGCAAATCTACGCTGACAGCCTACCGTTGCCATGCGTTTGTCATAGCTGGTTCTCATGCTCTTGGAGAATGTATGTGAACAGTTTTTGTGAACTCGTGCACGCAAGTAAGAAGGCATGTCCCTATGTGGCGGGCCGTGCACAAGCCTACTCTGTTCGCTTGACGTGTGGAGGCACCGGGGTCTATCTCCAGATTCACCTCAAATTGCTCCTGGGTACCACCTTGTGTGGATTCTGCCTCGACCAGGTCGTAGAACTCGATTTCTCCCGTGAGCAAACATTTACTGTCATGCTTCATCTTTATCGGATGCCTGCTAGACCTGCCCTGTCTTTTGGCAGATAAGTTGCTTCCATCGCAAAACACCCATATGGTTCCACTTTTCCAGCAACTGCTAGCCATGCGTTCTCCAACCCCACTTCCAAACTTCAAACCCAGCTCCTCTATGTGGGATTTGCGTGCAGGTGACCCAAGTTAAACTGAAAAAGCCATGAATCCCTTTCGGCTGCTCCCTCGGTGCCTGCGGTTAGTCTTGCCGAGGGCATCACCAGAAGAAGTCACTTTATAGCTCTGAAAATGATAGTGGCCAGCTGGCCACCGTGCACGACAAGGATGCCGGCGATCGTGGGATTTCCATGGAAGTTTTCGGTGTGTAGCGCGAAGGCTTCGCAACGAGCACAGTGCTTTTGGCAAAAAGTTCGGCACAAGGCGTGGAATCGTGCTTGAACGGGATGTGGTCATGGCATAATCACGTCGTAATCATCATCATCATCATCATCATCATCATCATCTACATGCTTGCACCGCGCTCAGTTTGGCCTGGCATGAAGCGAGACGGCCTCGCGTATGCTCGAAACGAAGGACATGTGCATGTGTACCGCACTCACGAGTCTAGGCGTAACGAGAAAGGTATTGCGACGAAATGGGTGCTTGAACGAATTGCTGACTTGGGGCGTATGCTGATCTAAGCGCAAGATTCGTGACTGCTGCAACGATGACAAATCCGAGACTAGAAACGAAGAAGGAAGTGCATGCGCTAGACCGGCCTGACGCAGCATTATTCCATAGCATATGACCGAATCGATACCAAAACAAACCGAGAAATGACGAGCTTCCGCTTGCTACAGAATTCGGCAACTATGGCCAAAAACGACACTCAATCGATTTTCGAGATGCTGCTCGAATGCTCGCGAACATGCCGCGACAAGGCTGAACAACACAGCAAAAGAGCGCGGCTCAATGGGGCGAGTTTGCTTAAGGCGCATGCACAAGGCGAGGGATAGCATGCTGCAGGATGTGACGGTATGATTGCACCATCTGCGTGCTCGGGATCCCATGATTGTGAAGCCCAAACAACATCGCTAAGAACTGCACCTTCACTGACACTCGGACATGATGCCTGCCATTACACAAAGAGCACGAAGCAGCTCGAAACATTCATCCTTATAACTTATACTGTACGGATGGCCAGCTGGGGTTGTTTTCGGCCAGCTCCCGAAGCGTCCCATCCGACTCAAAACAGTCGCCTGCACTTGAAGTCTATCCCGCGAAATCCGTGGAGTACTGCACAAGTATGCGACTTCTTGGCCAACACTGCTGCCTCTGCTACAACAGGTGGGTCGTCTCGCTCCCCATGCTTCCGCGACCTGTCCTGAAGGTCCGACAAGCGCGCCTTGTCGTTTCGCTCCTTCTGCATGTCTCCTGAGCGAACAGTCCCACCGAACTTACCCGAAAGCCCGAAAGCAACTCGATGCAGCATCCGAGCTCCGCACGTGTCGTCTTCTCCACTCGGAACATAGGGTCAGCTTCCATTTGTCTCCGAGTTTCTGGATCCACAAGCTCCAATGTCTCGGAGTCCTGCTTCGGAAAAAAGTTTCAGTGTCGGTCCCGGCCTTGAGCTGGGAACAGACGCAACTCCAAGTCCTTGTTATCCCAAGCTTCGATTTTTCGACGAAGCCCCTCCGCCAACTCGTAATCGTCCTGGCAGTCATTCTTCGACCACCCAAACAGACTCCAAGACAAGGCATAAGTTATAAGTGTCAAACCAGCCAGCTGGACGTTCTTGGGATCGGTACGGATGACCAGCCGTTGGTTGCAGTGTGCCCGCCCTGCGGGGGATTTTGCGACAAAAAACCGACGAGATTCTCGGCGAATTGATCAATTTTTGCTGCCTTCATTCCAGATCCCTTTAGGATCTGAAAGATGCCTGTGCACGTGACTCAAAGAGCTCTCCGACTCCAACTCAGCCAATTTTTCCAGGACTTCTGTAAGCGGCAGTGATGAACGCCAGAAAGCCCAGAGCAACCCGTGGTTGCACATCTGAAACCGGTGGGGTGCCGCATGGAAGAAGGCATGCACAGCCTCTGTAAAGGGATGGCTGCAGACCGGGCTAGATGTGAGGGCCCGTGCAAGGTTGGACAGGGCTTGCGGGCCCGGTTCCGGTAGCATTCCCTGTCCAGCATCAGCAACAGCACAGGAGGAGACACCGTGAATGGCCTGCATCTTCCCGGGATCTCAACAGGTGTTGGCTGCATGCTGTGGAGAGAGATGGGCACACGTCTTCGTAGTCTGGCAAGCAGTGGAATTCAAGGTAGGCCGGCGTCGAATTGACATGGTACTCAATGCTTGCACGAAGTTGGCCGCATCCTGACCGGTGTGCTCCGCAACAAACCTGAGAGACTGCTGTCCGGGAGCATTGGTAAGAGGATCATAACGAAATGCCAGAGTAGCCGTCTCCCAGCCCATATTTGTAGTTTCCTGCTACTTGAACCGATTGACTTTAAGCTGGGCCGCGACCCCAGTAGCATCTTGCAGCAGCCTGCCGTGAAAAACCAGCGAGGCAAGTGTCCACGCACTGGTGGAGAGACCCTGCGGACTTGGCTCTCTGCAAGGAACTCTGGCCGATGTGAGTGACACAAGAGGCCGACCAAAAAGAGCAACAGCTGTGAAGCCCCAGGCTGCGTTTGCAAGGCCTCTGGCGTCCATGTGAGAGATCACCGAGGATGATTACTTGATGAGCGACTGGAAACGGGGGGCAGACGGGTCCGCATCCAGCTTTGCAAGTCGGTTCAGCGCTGTAGCAACACTTACCGCATCCAATGCCAAATCGGCAGACTTCTTGGCAGAATGGCCCAATTCATCCAAAAGGTCATAGACGTCTGCTGGTCTTTGGGCGGCCAGGAGGCTCTCACCCAAACGACGCCGCATCTTGGAAAAGCCGCGCTGCTCGATGAATCGGGTCCTTATCCAGGCGGGAAAAGATTCGGCAGAAATCAGCACATGGGCGCGAGTTGAGGCATCTACAAAGGTCATAGACAGCGCTCCTTCCAGATTGGCCTTTTGGCAGCACCCAGCTGCCTGCCCCTTCCACCATGGCGCAACATGACTGAGCACGAGAACAATGTAATTTCAACACTTTGTCAAAACTGGCAGTATAAGTCTAAGTCCCTTGTCGGTGTGAGCAGCATGCAGCAAAGACTTAGAACCTACATCTTCCGCAGCATGACGAATGGGTCAGAGAAGCTGAAGCAATGACAGGAATTGCGAAGCACATGCACAAACTAGCACATTGACATGGCGTTCGCACCGTTGGCCGACCGTTCTGGGCTGACGATGTTGCCTCAACACTGATACATCAGAATTGGTAGGTCACGGGCATAGAGTGCAGCATGTCTCGACCCGATACTGTAGAGGACGATTGCAAAGATAGCCCAATGTACCGCTGGCTAACTGCTTGCCGGGCTGCCACAATTCATGGAGAACTCGTAAAGCGGGGTCGAGAAGTACATTCCGACCTTCTTCTTGTCCGCCTGCAGGAGAGCCGAAGTGCAGCAGTTTGGAAGGAACCAGCACCACAGCGCCATGCCATGTCACCAACTTGTGCATCCATGTGGCATTGTATCGTGTGCCCTGGCGAATGTACAGGCCACACCTGGAGGGAAACACGCTGAGAATGATTCACATTCTGGCCAATACGTATCGCCGGCCTCAAACATTGAACTGTAAAAGGCATCTCGAAGCGAATCAATAGCACCTGGAGTCGGTGGGGGGGAGTCGGAGCCGAGCGCTTTTGCACCGCCGAGCAGGCCGAGCAGCAAAGCCGTGCTCTTTCGGCTAAGGCACTCCCTTGCTCAGGTTCTTCGTTCGCTCCTTGCCGAAGTGATGCTCGAAGCCTCTCCTCGGGACACAAAACGCGACCGTTTAACAGTGTTGCACAGCCGCAACACTGAGATAGCCGGCTTCCGCTGGAAGTGATCCAAAGAACCTCTCGAAGGTTTCCATTCCTTGGAAGCTGCCGGCTTCTAGGCACTTGGCGGCACTTGGCGGCACGCTGCCCGTGGAGAGCCTGCGGGTAGTAGAAAGAATCGGCGCAGGCGGCCTTGAGGCTGATGTCCTGCGGCGAGGCGGTGGGGCGGTGGGGCGAGAGCCCCGGGTTTTGTCCGCTCCTTCGTCATTGCGCTCACGTTGGGGCGTTGCGGCCTCTAGCCATGGCCATGGCACCGGCAGAAGGGCAGAAGCCACAAGCCACAAGAAAGAACCTCCACATACGCGACACCTCTACTTCGTGAAGCCAATGAAGCCGATTGTTTCATGAGCCCAAAATGCCAGACAAGCACATGAGCAGAGCAAGCAGGAATGGTGCAGCATCTCAGACGTACGGATTCTTCCCAAAGCTCCCTGCTCACACATTTCCATCCGACCGGTTACGGACAAGGGGACTGTGCAGGCTCAGAAGCGGCTGAAGATGTTTCCAGGAGCCCTTGCTTGTGCGGTTGCTGGACATGGCGGCCATGAGCTTCGAGCCCTTCTGGGATCACGGCCCCATGAGCATGTTAGGGTCCAGCTGGCTACCTCCTTGGATCTCCCCTTTCACCTGCCAGGCTGCCATGGCCAGGCCCGGTCTCAGGTCAAACACCCCGCGCGTCTAGGCAGAAACTGGCCAGACACACCACCCTCAGGTCCTCGGCGCTGCGCGGCTTACACAGCACGGAGGGAGGCTTAGGCTTAGGCGGCTGGAGATTTCAACGTAAGGCCGGAGCTCCATCATGCAACTTCTCCATTTCCAGTTCATGCCTCCAGGCTCTCAGCATCCTTTTGCCAAACACGACGGCCACGGGGCCTCACCACGAAGTCTTCCATAGCACCGATTGCTTGATCCTTTCACGACTGGCGCTCAGGGCTCACATGCCGGAGTGCAACCCCCCCGTGCCCCCCGTCCAGTGTGACCCACACAGAGGTCAGGTCGCCGCAGGAACGCTCCTGCCAGGAAGCGCCTAAACGCCTGTGAGTCGGAGACCCAGATTACGCCTGCCAAGAACCTTCTGCGCGGTGGTAAAAGCATAAGCCGCCGACCTTGGGACTGCTCCCAACACTGCTGGAGGCTTCGGCGACCCGCGTGCATCCTCAAATCCGAGATTGCTCAGAGCTCGACCTTGCGTTCTGCCTGACATCGTGCACGACGGTTCCCTTCCAGGCCTGGGCCCCGGGCACAGAGCCAGGAAACGGTTTTCTGCTAGATACGAGGGAAGTCCGAGTGACACAGCGTGATACCTCGAGTCGGGTTTGCCTGGCGACTGCGGATCACGAGAGCCAGGGAGGCCGAGGGAGGCCGAGCCTGGCCTGACAGAAGTACTCACCTTCCAGCGATTCCACCACCAGAGCTGTAAGCTCAGCCCCATCGTACACGTGCTCGCAGAGGCGGTCACTCGGCTGCAGAGCCTCCAGAACGGACGCGAAGGCGACACACCACCAAACGAGGGTATGTTCGATGCCTCAGTCTCTACTGCAAGGCGGTACTCTGTTCGCGGCAAAGGCGGAACGAGTTTTGCAAGCTCTCCTGCAAGCCTCAGCTCTGGCATTTCATCTCACGTGCAGTGTCAAGGTCTCGCAGGAACAGCTGACCTTTTTCAAATCGGGCTTTGGCTGGCCAGCTGTGCAGTTTGCGTTCACCGTAAGCTCCGCCAGAAGCTCTCCTGCTCGGATGTTCCTATGCAAGAGATTGCTCTAAGAATTGTAACAACCAACAAGCACAGGATGCTCTGCAAGCTGCAACCAAGCAGGTGGCAGCACAGGCACTTCACACCAGACCTTTTGACGTGCTACTGCACCGAATTGTCCTTTCGTCGTTTTTTGGGGTGGCTACGGCTTTTTAATTGTTCATTTACTCCTGTCTTTCTGTTTTGGGGTGAAGTGCGTCTTGCTTCGCCTGAGCTCCTTTTGCCTGCTGTCTTAATTTAGGTTTTGGTCGTACTTCCTTTGTTTAGACTGTGCCACGCAATAGGACCAATTTTTTGAGGGAGCCGTGCTAATACCACATATTTAAAGTTAGGGGAGGCTTTGGTCTGCGACCTTTCAGGGTGCGACCTGCTAGGGTAAAGGAAAAGCTTGCCACCCAACATTTTCTTTTCGGCTTTAGAGCTCCTTTGGGGCTTAAGGCTTCTTTTGTTGTTTAGGGTTCGGCCGACAACCATTTCGGTTCGGAGTTTGCCACATCTTCTTTAAAGGTTTCGGGTTTGGCTTTAATGCTTGCCACCCACCATCTTCTTTCGCAGGCCTCTGAGCTTCCATGACATGTTCTGTGTGTGTGTGTGTAATTCTAGGAATTGCAACCGCAATCTGAGGAGGCCTGGGTTTGACCAAGAGCCTGGTGAGATCCACACTCTGGCTCTCGCGTGACCCTCCCAACCCCTTGCTGTGTTCTTGTCAATGCTCCTTGCTTGAGCCGACTGTGGACAAGGCGTTGGAGCTTCCGTTGGGGCTCTCCTTTATTAGCTGAGTGCTAAATCCAACTACGGATCAGAGCTCTGAAAGTCCTAAAGGCAGACTCCAATGGTCCAAAGACCGGCTGGCGAACCGGAACATAAAAAGGCGCAGATCGCCCAGACATGAAAAGACACAAACAACCCTCCAAACAGGCCAACTAGGGTTTCACATGCCCGCTTCAAGGCTACACACGAATAGAAAAAGACACAAGTCAGCCCAGAAACAAAGTCACAGGCCAGCGCAAAAAGAGCAAACTGCCTACCTTCCATACCAAATCTTCTGCACTCTTTCCGAGTACCATGTCCTCTGTGCATATTCCTTTTTCTGGTCGGAAGTTGCCTGTCAGCTGTTGCTGTGCAGTGTCCTTTCGTTCGACTGCCTTCGACCCTTGCTCGGTCTCTTTGTTGGGCATGATCAGACAAAGATGAAGCTCAAAATGCGAGCGATCTGCTGCCGCTCCGCGTAAAAACTGCCGTTTGTCTTTGAAACTGTCTGGGATTGAATACTTAAGAAACACAACTTGCCTCGCAGCTCCCCTCGCCTGCCATGGCTCGGATGGACAGGTCCATAGCAGCACGCTGTTGCTGAGCCCGACTGGCCTGGTTTCTTCGAACAGCCCCTTTCGTCCCGCAACGTGCAGACAGGACGGGCCTGCTTCTGCAAGTAATCCTTCAGAACAACACAACATCGAGACTCAAACAAATGTGTTCAGAAGAAACATCCAAGCTCTCCTGCCGACGGCACTCTTGTTCGCTGGCTTCATCACGAACAAGCTCTTCCACTGCGTTCCATAAATCATCGAGTCCATCCTCCCACGTCGAGCTAACATACCATTCACACCTAAGTTCGACGACAGCCGGTGCATTTTGCCAGGCCTCCAGCTCGCTGTCTGGCTGCTGATGATTCATGGTACATGCTGATACGCTCGTATCTGCTCCTGTTGGTGTTGCTGTTCCAGTGATTCTGCCAACATCAACTGTGCGTGATTGCTATCAGCAGGCAAGCCAACTCCCTTCTGGGTGGCCTAGAATCGGCCATGGTAGGGTCCGTCATAAAGTCAAACTTTGTCAGTTTTTTTCAATTGGTGGCCGAACCCTGCTGCCAAGGACCAAAGTCTTCGTCGTTGTCCTGCATTGTCAAGGTTACACAGCCTTGAGCTTCTCAAAACGCCTCGGATCTCACAACCAGCACCAGGAACGACATTCTGTTCTGAACGCATGTGCACGCAGGAAATAAACCAAACCGTGCGAGCAATCCGAACACGAATCCTGGTTTCGAAAAACCATGTCAACAACAACTTTACACTCTGAACCATAATGTGTTTGGCTTCTTGCACAATGACGGTTGCTTTCATGCGCGCCATTGTCATCGTCCTTGGCTGGGACAGGGGACAATCTTGCAACAGTCTCAAACGTATTGTCGCCAATGCTCATATCAATGTGGCGTTTCCAGAAGTTGAATTCGGTTTAAGCAGGAATTAAAATGAAGAGCGAGCACTGCCCAACAAGTTCACATACACAATGGCTTCATCCTCTGTCTGGCTGGCACGTTTCGGAGGACATTGTACTTTGACTTCATCGTGATTTCAGCAGCACGTTGACACGAACGGCGGTCTGTGAAGAAGCTAAATGTGATCATTGGAACCGACACGTTACAAGACAGCTCTGTGCAGCTTCCACTTGCCAACCATTTCTGACGTTGCGAAAACTGCAAATGATGGTACCACCTTTTCAAACACGATCATCGAAACATTTGCTTCTGCAATAGACACAAGCAGCCTCCAGCCGTACGGGTCATCTCGCACTTGACGGGCACCAGGCTTTAAAGGCAAGCTAGAAGGCAGGTCGGTGGTCAACAAGAGGTGAAACTTCAGGCTGGAGTTCAGGCAACTCCAACCCCATTCGACAAATCCGAACTTGAAGACACCCCAAACTTCGAACTTGGTTCGAGACTGGGGTTCAACTCCAACTCTAACTTGGTTGAAACCCCAACTCCACGTTGCAACTTTCAAGGGTAAAAACCGTAGCTTTGTCACACCTAACTTTCAATCACTCTTGTGACACTTTCAAAATCTGAATTCCAACCCCGGAGTGGTCAAGTTCAATCCAATTTGATATTTTGCCAAAACTGAATGAGGTGTTGACACAATGGCATGACACTCAACGAACAGACTTTGCAAACTTGGCCGCAGAGCTTAATTCAATTGGTTTCAATCTCGATCCCATGAAGAATAACATGCTCCCTTTGAGAAATTTCAAAAAATGTGTCCAGACTGAGCATAGGTTTTTGAAATGTTCCGGAACAAAGGGTTCGAACTCCTCGGGGGCCCGGGGGGGGGAGAGAACATATAACTCCGGAACTCAGGGTTGAACCCTGGGTTCGAACTTCTCGAACCCAGGTTCAACCTGGAGTTTGAACTCTATGTTCGAACCCTGGGTTCGGGAAGTTTCTCTGGTCTCCTTGCACTTGAAAGTTCCCCACATATATGGGAATCGAATTATCAAGATAATAAAATATAAATGGAAAATTTTTTGCAATCCCAATCTCAGGAATAAGCGACTGACAGGAATGTATGTGCACATTACAATGGCTTCGCTCGGACGCTCGACTGTTTTCCTCACCTCCTCCTGCAACGGGGGTATTTGCACCAGGGTGATGGCTAAAGGAGGCGATGCAACCTCAGATGCGGCAAGCACAGCCGATCGTGAGCACAACCATCTCCNNNCCCCCGCGCCCGCGAACGGAGGATCGACAGAGCTCCGGCAAAGTCCCCATCGCCCAGTCAGCTTCGAGTCTAGTAGATTCAAGAATCGCCCGAGCGAACCGCGGCTCGTAATGCTGAGCGACAATGAAATTCATCATCGTCGAAGTGACTGCTACATCGCCCTTGTTTGTCACACCGAAGCGGCGACAGGTCTCGTCCATCAAGCCCCGCGACGGGAGGTCCGCCGGATTGCTCTTCGATGGGACCCTTTCAAACCACAAGAGGGCCTCCATCGAACTTTCCATCAAGGCTTCTAAGGAGATGAGCCGCATCAGTGAAGTTGAGGGCGAATAGCGCTTCACAAAGCCGTACAAGCAAGCGTTGTTGTCGATCCATGCCAGAACCGAGCAGCCTTTCAGGAGACCTCGGACACCGAAAAGGGTAATGGCCAAGGCATACGCCTCTATCTGACAGATCACCTGCGATCCGGCTTCCCTAGACCAGTGGTCCATCAGCTGCTGACACACCTCGCCCCCAAAGGGCCCAGCGGGACCCCGAACAAGGATCGACGACTACGGCTCCCCAAGTTTCCCGGTTCTTTTCAAAGGCACCGTCAGTGTAGAGAACAATGGGCGGCAGGATCGATGCCGGGCACCGCTTCGGTCTACACTGCGCGATGACATCAAGCGCCAGCGCGCAGGCCTGCGTCAGCTCAGCCGTGTTGCCAAGGAAAGGACCAGACAGGGCCCTTGAGAGCATCCTCGAAGTAGGCTTCAGCTCGAAACCCATGATCAGTCCGCCCGCAAAGTTGATAAGCCCATGCAGCGAAGCAACATCGGAACGTGTTACGGCCCCGCCTTCGGCAATCTGACGGAGAAGCGAAGCAATCTTCTCGAGACGCCCGGCCTTGTTTTCGACCTTGAGCGCGCCACTCCAGATCTCATCGAGATTCAACGAAACCCCCAGAGAAACCACCCGCTCGTCGAAAGGCACAAACTTCCGTCCGGACTTAGCGTAAGCCCACCCCAGCAAATCCAGCAACCTCATCAGGATCTTGTCAAGCAGGTTCGCGGCGGGGCGGAACTCGTAGAGAGTGTAGTCATCGTAAAAGTCCGTGGCGATAGCTCCGAACTTGACAATCATGATGTGAAGGATCGCCAGCGCCACTTTGTTGAATCCGTACACACTGGCTGCCGCTCCGAACGGGAGGCTCCTCGCCAAGTAGAATTCCCAGTCACCCTTAGGGCTTGGGAACCCAAGCACGGCGTGCTCGCCAGTAGCGGGATGTATGCCCAGCTGCCGGTAAGCCTTGCTCAGGTCCAGCGTCTTCCCCAGCAGGGCCGGCTGGTGCAGCATCTGAGAGTCCCATTCCCCCTCGAGCACCGAGCCATCTAGCAAGGGAACCCTGACCCGGGTGCGGTCTTGCAACACTCTGGCCTACAGCATAGTCAGTATCTTGGAGTTCAAGGAATGACGACGAGCCGAAGGCTCTGTTCACTGCCGACATCTTGAAGTCGTCGATGATCCTGATTTTGGAGTCCTCGCCCTGCCTCAGAAGCAAACGTGGCGAGAGCGACCATCCCTCTGTCTTCAAGATGTTGCTGACCTCTTGCTCCGAGTGGTATGGCCCCGAGAGGAAGCCCGCAGCCACTTCCTCGGCCGTCTCATCCTTCAACGCCTTGTAATCCTGCTCCGAAGTGAGCCCTTTCATCCGTTGCAAGGCATGGCGACGCAAGACGGCCTGGGCTTTCAACTGATCGGGCTCAAGGTCTTAGGCTTAGGGCGTTTAGTGAAGAGGGGGGATTCGGTCTCCTGACCAACTAGCGGCACTCCCTCAGTAAGCAGATCCACTACAGACATGTCAGGAAAGCCCGTCTCCTCGAGAAGCTCCCGGAATAATGCAATGGCCTTCCCTCGAGTGACTTGCAACGAGCATAGGTTTTTGCAGGGTGTTGGAACCCTGGGTTCGAACACCTGGAGGGGGGG